GGACATCAGGAGCACAGAGCGCACTGCTTCGAGTTCCCAGGAGCTCGCAGTATGAGGATGTTCCATCGCAAAGAACCTGCTTCGAGACATCTGATACTCGGCGACACGCATGCACAAGTGAATGTATCTGAGCCCTCGCTCCTCCTCATCCTGCTGCCGCTCCGGATCCATCCGCCCTCAGTTGGGCACTCTAGCCTGTGAGAAAGCCCTGCACACCGGGGACATGGTCACGAACATCGGGGCCTCTGTCTCCAGCACGGCCCAAAGCTTGGCCTGCCCCCTGGCGGTCCCCAGGTCCACCCCGGTGAGGATGTCCAGGGCCTCCGAGACCCTGTACCCGCGGCGCCTAAGCTCAGCCGTGACCCTGGGAGGTGAGAAAATCTCTAAGGCCAGCGCCCCGCCGCGACGCTCCTCGAGCCTCTTGAGCTCGCGATTCCTGAGGTTCTGGGCCTCCCTGAGGCCCTGGCCGTCTAAGGCTCGCACGGAACCTCCCGAACCTGTCGAGGCATCGTGGCCCTGGGGGGGGAAATGCCTAGCTGGCCGTCTAGGGCCGCGGCCGCGAAGCGGTCTTCCTCGATGATCATCAGCCTCCTGCTTTCCTTTCCTCCTGCTTGCTCCTCCTGCAGCTGACTACTCCTCTCTTCGCTTTGGGTCGGGTTCCTTTCGCACCAGAACGTCTCGCAGCCCCTAGCTTTCGAATGGCCTCGCTAGCTCCTACGGTTCCCCAGAGTCCCGAGATGAGCACTTCTCCGGAGTTGCCTTTGACTTCCAACCACCTGGCACTCTCCGGCAGCAGGATCCCTGGAGCCCTTCCTCCACTAGCGTGAAGCGCTAGGCCGGTAAAAAAACGATTGTTGCCCGCACGATTGAGAGGCACTTGCTGCCAGCCTCTCGCCAGCGCGACCTCATCTCGAGTAACCTCCCTCTTTTGGTCGAAGTCCCAGATGCCGAGAACCTTCCTCGAATCCTTCCTGAACCCTGACCTGGATCCTAAACGATTGCAGTAGACCTCGAGGTCGCGGGCAAAAACGTGTTCGGGCAGGGCCGTGCCGGGGCTCACGCGAGACCTCAGCTCGACGCTCAGGATGTCAGTCTCCAAGTCGCTCAGGCGTCGGATGGACGCGAGCGAGCGCCCTCCTTCTCCTCCCTCTCGGCCCTCTCGGCTGCCCGGATCAGCGACACCAGGCGCACCATGTCGTTGTCCTCGAGGCTGAACTTGGACGGGGAGTTGGCCACCTTCTGCTGTATCTCGCGGATGTACTCGGTCTGCGTCGCCACCATCTGCGTCATCTGGTTGAAACAGGCCTCGTTCCCCTTCTTCTGCGACTCCATCACGGTCGTCATGTCGTAGAGCGCCTGCTGCATCTCCGCCACGGTCATCGCACGCATATGCGGAGGCGGGTTGTGGCGCTTCGGGAGAGGCGCGCCGCCCGCCGGCGGAGGCTTCCGCGGGACGTAGCCCTCGCCCGCCTTGACCAGGAGCGGTCCCGCCTCTGGGACTGCCTGAGGCCGAATCTTGGCCAGCGGAGCCTTCGGCAGCGGGTGCACCCAGGGGTCCATGCTGTCGTGTTCCTGTATCAGGGCTTGCAGCTGGTCCTGGGCGAGCTTCTTGGCTGCCTTGTTGAGCTCGATGCGCTGCCGCTCCGCCGCCCTGCGAGCCGCCGCCTCGGCTTTCTCCTCGTCTGTCTTCTTGCGGTAGCTCAGGCGCGTGTCGCACTGCGTGCAGTCCGTCCACCAGGCGTGCTGGTTCCCCCCAGAGACTCGGGCCCACGGCGGATGCACACAGTCTTCCTTGGGCATCTTTTCCTGGGCCGAGGGGCACTCCGCCATCGCGTCCATCATCCCGATGCAAGCTCGGCTCAGCCAGACCGCCTTCAGGGCGAATCGCCTCCAGCGCAGGTGAACCGGCTCCACGGCGTACAGACCCTCGTTGAACCAGAGCTGCTCCTGGTCCGTCAGGGCCTCGGCCTCCATGATCGCGTTGATCCTGGCGATCGTTTCCTCGGTCGTGTCCACGTCCACGGCCTCCCACGACGAGTCCAGCGTCTCCATGCCAGGCTCCTCTCCGCCCTCCATCGTGGCCATCTGCGCCCTGCGGCGAAGCCCCGCCAGCGCCGTCCGGCCTGACTTGGGCTTCTCCTTCGCCTTCGCCGTCTTGTGCATCTTGGTATCCTTCACCATCTCTGAATGCTGCCGCGCGCTCGGCTGCCGTGCTCCAGTCGATCCTCGAAGCTCGAACCGAGGGGAGCTGCAGGCAGGAGCAGGGCCGCTGTCCCCGGACCCCCGAGACCCAACTAACGACGAGAGAGGGGGGAGAGAAACGGGATCTGCTGCCTACGCTGCTGCCATCCTCACACCTACTGCCGGGGCACGCCCGCATGCTAACGGAAAGCTGGGCGGGCGGGCTCGGGTCCTGTCGCATGCAGAAGTCGCCGATCGAGAACTTGCCGACCAGGCCGGCGCTCAGGGCGAACGTCTGGGGGTCGCGGTGGACGAGGTCGACGGACCTGTGGCCGGCGGGGTGCACGGTCAGCGGCCGGTCCACCCTCTCGCCCTCCTCGTCGACGGTCATGACGTTCATCTTCAGATCGATGCTGGCCCCGATCATCTCCAGCAGCCTTGCTGGAAGAAGCGGAGGGCAAGCCTGGGGCAGCACCAAGAACTCGACGATCCCGCACCCTGCTATCGTAACCGGGACCCAGGCCTTGCCAATCGGAGACGTACGACCTCCAATCCCAGAAGCCGTCAACCCCTTCACCGGAGTCAGGTCCACCTTCACCTTGTAGCCTCGAGCCTGCATGGCCCGAATCAGAACTTCCAGGTCGGGCTTGCCGATCAGCGCCTGCGCCGCCGCGGTGTCAACCATCGCGGCCGCGCCTGGGACGTCCTTCATGCTCAGGAAGCTGACGACCCCTGGGTCCTGCATGCACTCCCTCACGAACTTCTCCCAGTAGTCAGCTCGGCGACGATTCTCGCCGACGGTGCCGGCCTCGATCACGAAGTTCATCAGCGATCCGCCGCCGCCGTCATTCTCGAACAGGAAGGTTGTCGCCGAGAACCCCGTACCTGAAGAGCGTGGCTTATCCTTTTCCGCCGCCAGCCTGTCGCTCTTGGCGCGATAGGGTTCTTGCAACTGTCGGCCCAGTGTCCCTTTTCTCCACAGTTGGCGCACCGCGACCTTCCCTTCACGTCCGATCCGAGCAGGCGCTTGAATCCTGGTCGAGCACGCTTGCGGTCAAAGAAGTCGCGGTCCACCTTCTTGGCCATCTTGAGCTTCCGAGACTCCTTCCACGTGCGCCGCTTCTCCTTCCCGAATCGCTCCTCCACGAGCGCTGCCAAGACGTCGATCACTTCATTCTCATCAAGATCCTGAGACTCGAGTGCTGTCAGGAACGCCTCCGCCTCTTCCTCTGGCATCTCGACCTCGTCGCCCAGGTCCTCGTCCTCGTAGAACGAGTCCTCGACGGCCTCGGTCTCAGCCGGAAAGGTCTTGTAGGGTCCTGGAGGCGGAGTGGGGAGCACCCTCTTCTCGGTGACATCCAGCTTCAGCAACGCCTGTCGGATGGACGAGAAGTCAGTACATACCAGGGAAATCGTCCTCAGGTTGATCTTGTTCTGCTGCATGAGCGCCGCCCCCTCCTCTAGATAGCGAGCCTTAATAGCGTCGGGCAGCGTCAATCCATTAACCTCGGCCTCTGCGATCTGGGCGTCTCGTCGCAGTACATAGTCGGTCAGTGTTTCTCCTCTCTTGATCATGTGATCGAACAGGGCCAGGTTCTGCGCGCTCCTCTCCCGGTCACCCGGGCGTTCTCCGTTTCGTATCGATAAACGTGACAGAAGCTTGGCTATCCCATCCGCGGCGTCGAGAGTGGAGCGTATGGCCTTGAACTTCGCCTGCATCTCCACCGGGTAGGTCTCCACAACCTTCGCCGCCTGCTGGTGGTCCTGGTAGCCAGTCCGCTGGGACCAGGCGTTCAGGTTATGTCGGTACAAATCCAGATGGTCGAACCCCAACCACGCCGGGGGGGGCCCAAAGTCTCGGCTACGATTCGTCGATGAAGTCCATCCCGCCTGAGACCAACTGTCACCTTGCCAATCTTGCCACCCACTCGTTTGGGCCCCCACGCGGACGTTCCAGCCATCCCATGCGCCTAGGTCGTCGGTCGTCGTGCCTGTCTCGGCCGTTCTGGTGGCATAGGTGTCGGTCGCCATCCAGCCCTGCCACGCTAATCTTCTCCACCATGTGTGACCATTCGACCAGCTCCAAATATTTTCATCTGCCGCGTCCTGCCAGGGATCTGTCCCAGCATCTCGAACTTGCGGTAGGTCGTCTCGCCCACCGCCATCATCATCGCCGTCCGCGCCAGCGAGTGCACCACTGCCTCCTCCCTCATCACCACCCTGCTGCCCGGCAGGCTCCCCATCTCTAACCATCGCTCCGCTACCAACTGTTGGCGCTGGAGAGGACAGGAGGGGAGCCCTTTTGACTGCGAGGGTGCATGGAGGCGGGGAAAGGTGCCACTGTGCGCGTGGGGCGCACCTAAGCCAAAGAGGCTAGCACGGAGGGAGACAGGAAGGGATCACGACGAGGGGGGCTCGGAGGAAATGGGGGACAATCCAAGCCAGACTTGATTTGCGCGTCGCAGTTGCCAGTTCTGGAAATAGCGTGTTCGTTTGAGGTACTTCGAGCTTCCCCCCTGCGTCCAGGCACAACCGCGGGTCCCGCAGAGCAAGGCCAGGGCCGCCCATGCAGGCACTTGGCCGCCAAGGCCGGCCGCTCTGTCTGGCTTCGGCTTTCCGCTCGACCAGAAACCTACTTTATGAATTTGGGCTCGGAGGAGCCTTGCCTGCCATCGCCACAGGGGGAGCACTTTGTAAGATATGGACAGTTTCAGAAGGTATCGCAGAGCCCCGAGGTGAGAGTGCCGCACTTCCCTCGCGCTAGCTCGTGCCTGTCCGCTGGCATGTGTGCTCACGTGCATTGAGTTGTGGCGCGCTCGATGTCCTTCGGCGGGTGGCTCGCGCAGGAGGCCCTGCACGCTGCGTCGCAGGGGGTGCTCCTGTGGGCGGCGCGGGCTGAGTGCCCGCCGTGCACCTGCAAGCCTTCGCTGGTGCCCTCGGGGACCTGGCCGCTGTCGGCCGTGCTGCTGGCCCTGGTCTGCGGGCTTAGGGCGGGCGCTGTCCCGGCGCGGGCGCTCACGCCCGCTGCGCCAGCCCGGGCGCCTGCCAGGGTCGAGAGGCTCGAGGAGGAGGCCTGGGCCCAAGCTGCCCTCGTGAGGGCGCGGCTGCAGGCCCATTGACCCGACGTCCACGGCGGCCGCCGCCGCCGCGGGCCACCTCCTCGCCACCCTCGGGCTGGACGAGGGCGACTTCGTGCTGATCGGGCACCAGGTCGGAGGGGCGCGGATCTGGCATGAGCGCCTCATGTTGGTCTTCCAGGCCACTCCCCCCTTCGGCACGAGCATCTTGACGCCGGACGGCCACGGGTACATCGAGATCATCGTCAGCGGCGGCGCGGACGTTGCGGAATTCTGCGTCCTGGCAGCAGCTGGAGACGCCTCAGCCTCGACAGGCGCCGACCAGGTGTACCGCTTTCGCGCCTTGCCCTTGCCTGTAGCCGTGGCCGCCACCGCCAACTCCACCAGGGCGTCGCTTGGCCTGGTGCCGGGGCCCCTGGTGGCCCTGAACACCGCGGACCGCGCCATCGTCGCCGTCGCCACTGCGGCGGCTGCCCCTGGAGCCGGCGGCGCCGCCGGCGGTCCCGCGGCTGGGGGCCTGGCAGGGCTCGCGTCGGCGCTTGGAGGGGGGGCCCCCGCGGCCGGAGGGGCACCCGCGGCTGGAGGTGCCGCCAGCGCCCTGGTGCCTGCCGTCGCTCCCGCGGCGGCCGCGTCGGGAGGTGCCCTCGTGCCGGCGGCTGCTGCGCCGGCAGCTGGCGCTCTTCCGGCAGCGGCCCCTGGTGCTGACGCTGCCCCGGCCGCCGCCGCGATGGCCGCCGCGGCCGGAGCGCGCGGCGCTCCTGGCCCGGGTGCAGGCGGCCTCGCGAACGCGTTGGCGGCGGTGGCGGCGGCCCCCAGCGGCGACGCGAGGATGCAGGCCATCGTCCTCGACTTGCAGGGCGTCCGCTATGTCGACTGCAGGGCCGCCGCCGCGATGCGCATGCACGAGCTGCCGTGGGGCGACTGGCCTCTCAAAGGCCCCCTGACCTTGCTCAGGGTCTTGAACTGCATCAGCCGCAATGGAGGGGCGCCGCTCGAACGCCATTCAAAGTGGAGGCTGAAGCCTACTTAGACGAGGAGGATCTGGGTGTTGACGTCAGCGTCGTGTGCGATCAAGCGCACGCGACGAATCTAGCTTCCATGGAGTTGGTCGGCCGCGCGCCGCAGCCCCAGGAGGAGCTCTATCGCGACAGGTTCGAGCCGTCCTCCGAGTGCGGCCGCGACGCGGCCCTGCTGTCAGGCGTCCAGGACGCTGGCGGCAGCATCTGCATGGCCCCGGCGCTGCGCGACTGGCTGGCGGCCGAGAAGACTCGCGAGGCGGCCGTCGCCAAGGAGAGGCGCAAGGCTCGGGAGGAGCGTGCGCTGGCTGCTGGGTCGGGCGCTGCTGGTTCGGGCGGCGCCGACGGGCGCTGCGGCCGCGGCCGCGGCGGGCAGGGCCGCGGGCGTCGAGGCCATGGGGGCGGCGGAACCCCCAGCGCCGATGGCTGAGAAGAGCCGGGGGGGCAAATGGGCCATTGCGGCTTCGACCGCAGGCCCCTGGCCGCCAGGGACTGGTCGCCAGCGCGACGTCTTCCCGCTGCTGGTCTCGCCGGCTGCTGCTCCGCGTGGGATGGAGGCTGCCGGCCGCCGCTCAGTCCGGCGCTGCGGTCTTCGCGCCCATCGTGAGGATCGCATTCGGGCCGCCACCAATGCGTTGCATTCACTCTATGGCTTTGAGTCCTCGCCAGCGGCTCCGGCGCACGAGGGGCAGTGCCAAGCCATTATGCACATAGAGCGCAGCATCAAGGATTGGGGGGCGCCGCCGCCCGAGTTCACTGACGCCCGTGCTGCCCCAGACGGAGCCCTCCAGGAGCCCCTCTCAAGCGCCGACCTATGCGGTTCCGGCGCCGCCTCGTCATCGCCTTACATCCGCGACCGAGTCGCTTGGCCCTCCGGGGGCGCTGCGCCTGTCGACGTGCTCGACCTCGCGCAACCTCGCGATTGGGCGTGGCCGGAGGGATGGCGGAGCCATGTGCTTCGAGATCGGCGTGCCGCCGAGGCCCTGGCGCAGTCGGCCTGCCCGCGCGGGCCCTACTGCGACCCGAGACTGTTTCGTGACGCGAGCGCCTACGGCCAGTTTTTGATGCAGATGCACCAGAGGCAGAGAATCACCTGCACTGCGGACATCGGTCTGCCGCGCACCGTCGGCCTTTTTTTCGTTCCCAAGAAATCGGGGGCCCTCAGTTTCATTCGACATGAGGGCCCCGAGTTGCATGTGTTTGGATTCACCAGCTACCAGGCTTCCGTCGGCCTCGTCGTTTGGCGCAATCGAGGCCCGAGCTGATGGCGCGCACCTCTCGTCGTGCGACTTGGAGTGCGCGCTTTGTCGCGTGCGGCTGCCCAGCGGGATGGAATCCATGTTCGCCTTGCCTTCGATATCGGCGGCCGTGCCGCCGGAGCATGGCTTGATCGACATGGATTTCGACCCGTCCACTCTCTGCAGCGCGCGCCGTCCTGGCAGCTGGCGGCCGTGAGAGGGCCATGACAGCGCTGGGCGGCAAGCGGGCGCGGTTGTCCTTGACCCCATCTCCGTGGGCGTCGGCGCCTATGTCGACAACATCTTAACCTTCGGCGCTGACAGGAGTGCGGTCGACTGGGCCATGGTGCGGCTCGTGGCCGCTTTCCGTGCTCGAGGGCTTCCAGTGCGCAAGATCGAGCCCGCCGCGCGGGGCGCGGATTTCCCTGGCCCCAGCCTGAGGCGCGGGAGGTTCTTGCGCATCAAGCCGCGCAACGTCTGGCGGCTGCGCGCCGATCTCAGGGCTCTGATCATAATTCGGGACTTGCTGCCCATCCTGTCCTGCGACCTCTCTTCGGTGTAGCACTGCGCGATGACGGTCAGCGACGCGTCCCCCTTCGGCCTCCGGGTGATGCGGCGCCGCGCGCCTCGCGCCGTTGGTGCCGCGGTGGGCCGCTGCTCAGAGAGGTGGGGGTTTGAGGTCGAGGGTGGGCACCGGGCCCGCATCCTTTCACAGCGAGAGGGCGGCTTCGACCGGCCCAGTTCTGTGTCAGAAAATGTTGACCCTGCCTGCGGCCGCCATCCCCTCTCGTGTGTGAAGCCAGATGCGCTGCGTGATAGCCCTGTGGGCATTCGTTCAAGGCTTCCTTTTTGCGTGTGCGTCTTGTTCCTGGACAGCCTCTCATGGCCATTTTGGGGGCCCACCGCGTGAGACCAGCCTGGGCCTCCAGTGCGCCTCCATGGGCCAGCGCGGGGCCCGTGCGAGGAGCTCGCGACGATGAACGAGGTGTTCGCTCGCCCTCCCGCTGCTCTCTCCCGCGCAAGAGGTAGGGCTCGATCGAGACACTTGAGGTCGTGCCTGAATCAGTTGTGCACGTTGTCGCTCGCCACGGGGTCGAGGCTCTTCGTTCGCTGGGTTGCCTCAGAGCGCAATCTGGCGGACCCCCTCAGTCGAGGGAAGCTCGGCTGGTTCAACGGCCATCGTCAGCTCAGCCATGCGAGGACTCGCCATGGGCGCGGCGCGGTGGTGCTCGTGCTGCTGGTCGCGCTGCACCCGCGCGAGGCGCGGGCCGTGGCGCGTCGGGCTGGGCCGACGCCCTCAGCCCGAACGCGCCGCCGTGCGCAGCTGGCGTCGGCGACGGCGAGCGGGCGGACGCTGGCGGGCACCGTGGCGCTCTTGGAGCTGCTGACTGCGCGGCCGAAAACGGAGGCCCTCTACCGCCAGTTCCTGCAGACGTTCATCACGTTCTGCTCCGACCGCCGCTAGGACTGGAGCAGCCTGAACGAGTTGGACGGCCTGCTCGCCGAGTGCTTCACCTCCAGGTGCATCTCGGGGGCGGCGGCCAACGTCGGATCGCAGACGGTCGCGGCGCTGGCGCACTTCACGCCCGGACTCCCGAGGCAGGTGGGCTCGCTCCTGCCCCGCGCCTCGCGCGCGATGCAGGGGGGCGGGCCCCTGCCCTCGCGCGGCTGCCGATCCTTCGGGCAGTCATGTTTGCGCTGGCTGGCGTCCTGATCGCGTGGCAGCAGGCGCCCGTGGCAGCGTGGCTGGCGATCTCGATCTCGGCGTACCTCAGGCCTGCCGAGGCGCAGCGGCTCACGACGGACAGCAACGTGTAGCCATCAGCGTTGGCAGGTCCAGTTTGCCAGTTCCGGGGCCTGCTGCTGCGCCCGGCATGCCGGGGCGGGCAAGACGGGCTCCTTCGACGAGTCGATCCTCTTCGACCTCAACCTGTACCTGGTGCCGGTGCTCATGGCCCTCCGTTGCAGGGGGGGCCCGCGGGCGCCGCCGTGGAGCTTCTCTCTGGCGGGGCTCAGCGGGGTGTTCGCGCTGGCGGCGGTGGCGCTTGGGATCTCCCAGCTGCGCCCTCGCCTCTCGGGGATGCGGCGCGGGGGGGTGAGCGACGATCTCCCGACCCAGCGGAGGTCACAGGAGCAGGTCTTCCGCCGGGGTCGCACGGCCGTGATGTCCTCGATGCGGCGGTATGCGAAGGAGACGGCCCTTCTGCGCGAGCCGCAGGGGGCGCGCCCGGACGTGTGCGCGTTCGGCGACCTGGTCGCGCAGATCTTCTGCCTGCTGATCGAGAAGGGCTTCTTCGGCGCCGGGCTGCGGCAGCTCGCCCCGGCCCGCCTGGCCGCCTCCGTCCCGTCGGGGCCAGGCAACGGGCCCAGGGAGGTGAGGGGGCGCCCTGCCGGCTGCGCCTGAGGGGCCGAGGCCGGCCCTGCTGGCGGCGCCGCTGGCGCCCGCGCTGGGCGGGCTCGGCCGCCGTCGCGCGGCTCCGAGGTTGCTGGCCACCCCAGGGGCCGCTTCAGAGCGGCCGTCGGCCGCGGCCCCCTTTGCCGGCGGCGAGTCGTGCTGGAGCTGTTCTGCGGCAGTGGGCATTTCGCGGCCGCCGCCCGCCGCCGCCGCGACTCCGAGCAGGCAGCGCTTCCTTGTATTTCACATGTCGCATGATTCGGATATGTTGTAAGCTAGATTTCTGTGCTGCTCGGAGATCCCGCTAGGTCTTTGATGTGGCATGCCAGGCCAGTTGCCGAAAACCTCGCGCCCCTCATCACCCCAGAGTGCGCTCGAGCGTGCGATTTCGACCAATGCCAAATCGGGGCCTCCTGGCAGAAACGCAACAGGGTCGCTGCCTGGCAGACGGGCCCGCTTCTTGGACTCGATCGGCTCTGTCAGGGCCTGCCGGGAATCGACGCGCCATTCTCGCGGGCCAGGCCCCGCGGGGCTGTCAATGCACGGCGTTGAATGCCGCCTATCCCGCGAGCCTGTTCAGCGTAATGGCAAAACTTGTCACAACAAGCGCTGTGCTGCAGAGGCCTAGACAAGCCATGGCTGACTTAGTTGGCAAGTCACCCTCTTGATTGCATCGAGCTGTTTTTAAACAGTTCGGCCCTCCAGCTCAGCTACAGCTTCCAGGCCAGTACTTCCTATGCCTCGCCTGCTGCACGCTCGGTGGTCAATTCCTGTGCCTCTCGTGCGGGCAGTCTTCTCTGCCGCCGCCTGGCTCGTGCGTCACGCGTATGATATAGCAGGGCCGCGTGCCTCTCGTCGGTCACTGCTGCTGCTGTCATCAGGTCTGTTCTGGGACTCGTGGAGTCGGGGCGGGCTGGTCAGTTTTCAAAACGTATTGCAGAGCCCTGAGGTGAGAGCGCCGCACTTTCCTCATGCCAGCTCGTGCCTGTCCGCCAGCATGTGTGCTCAAGTGCGCCCGCCCGCGTGCCGCCCTCATTTGAATCCTTTAGTTCCGTCCTTCTTTGGGGGCGTCATCTGTGTGTGTCTCGCCTGCTGCGCGCTCGGTGGTCAGTGCCTGCGCCTCTGCTGCCGGCAGTCCTCCTTGCCGCCGCCTGGCTCGTGCGTCGCACGTGTGATGCAGTGAAGCCGCGTGCCTATCGCTGGCCGCTGCTGCTGCGTCATCAAGTCTGTTCTGGCATACTTGGAGTCGGGGCGGGCTATGTATGTATGGATGTATGTACGTATGTATGGATGTATGTATATGTATGTATGTATGTATATATATATATGTATATATTTTTTTATATATATCTTATATATATATATATATATTCATACATACACATATATATATATATATATGCGAGTGCATTCGCGCTTTGCGCCGCGCGCTTTCTTCTGGACCCTCCCCGGCAAAGCAGTGAAACATCGCTTGCTTCAGCGGGGGGTGCCTCGAAGCCTAGGCGGGCGACTGGCTCGTTTCTCTGATGTCCCTAGTGCCCGTTGACGCCGCGTTCGCCCGATGCGCTTGCGCGTTTGCGCATTGGAGTGGGGAAGGAAGGATGATTGTTTCGCGCGCGAAGGTCCTGCGAGGAAGTGAGGGGCGTTCCCATGACGCGCCGAATAAGACGCAGAGTTCCGAACAAATCGATTTGCGGTAGCTTCCTGAATGCCGGGTGGCCTCCAGGCATTCGGGAAATATTCGATTGTCGATAGATCCTTTGCCTGTCTCTCTCGTTCAAGGAACTTGAACTTCGAGCCTCGAGCGTGGAACCAAGATCGTTGGGTCAGCTTCGTAGGAAAATGCCGTCTGGGCGTTTTTGGAATTCTTTTGGGCCGCCCCGGAGCACTCTTGGGCCGTCCGGGAGCACTTTTGGGCCGTCCTTGGGAGCTGGGGCCCTCCAGAGGTCTTCTGAAGTCATCTATCCATCTTGGGGGCCTCCAGTCGCCTTTTTGGGGGTCTCCCGTGGCTTTCGTGGGTCTCTCTTGGGAGCCTTCTGGGGGCATCTTGGGCTTCTTGCGGGCAGTTTCGGTGCTCTCTGGGGCAGCATTGGGGCCCTCTTGGGCCGTTTTCAAGCCCTCTGGGGGGCCTCTGGGGACGTTTTGGGGCGATATCGGAGGCCCATCGGGCCGTCTTGGATGCGCTTGAGTAAGTTGCATGAAATTCCAGCGCAAAGGCGTTATTCTTAAGTAAAGTTGCAAGCAAGTCTCCAGCGAGAGCGCGACTCCAGAGCGCCAAGAGAAAGATTCCTATACAAATTTTCAAGAAGTCCTAAGCGAGAGCGCGATTCCGGAATCAAATGCGAGGAAATCTCAGGCGGGAGCGGGGGTCTGGGTTAAATCGTAAGGAAGTTTCAGGCGGGAGCCTTTGTTGTTGTCGCCCAGGGGCTAGGGGCACAGTTTGAGCATCAAGATTTTGTCGGTCAAAAAACAGGGTG